CACAGCAGCTACTTCCACATGGCCGCCTGGGGCATCCCGGCCATGAAAACCATCGTCATCCTCACCATGCGGAAGGTGGCAGGGGACGAGCTCACAGGGCTGTGCTACGTGGGGAGCATGGACGTCAGTGCCCTGACCGGCTTCGTCCTCATCCCCCTCTCCTGCTACCTGGTCATCGGCACCTCCTTCATCCTCACGGGCTTTGTCGCCCTCTTCCACATCCGGAAGATCATGAAGACGGGTGGCACCAACACGGAGAAGCTGGAGAAGCTGATGGTGAAGATCGGGGTCTTCTCTATCCTCTACACTGTCCCGGCCACCTGTGTCATCGTCTGCTACTTCTACGAGCGGCTGAACATGGATTACTGGAACCTCAGGGCCCTGGAGCGCGGCTGCCTGCACCTTCCTGGCCGACGCGCCGCCAACTGCTCCTTGGAGGCCTCGGTGCCCACCGTGGCCGTCTTTATGCTAAAGATTTTCATGTCGCTGGTGGTGGGCATCACCAGCGGGGTGTGGGTGTGGAGCTCCAAGACGCTGCAGACCTGGCAGAGCCTGTGCAACAGAAAGCTGGGCGTGAGGACGAGGGGCAAGCCCTGCAGCGCGGCGGGTGCCCCTGCCACTACAAAGCCCCCACGGTCATGCTGCACATGGCCAAGACGGACCCCTATCTGGACAACCCGACGCGCGTCTAGAGTGGAGGCCGCCCCCTCCCTGGGGACGGCGCGCCGGGGGAAGCTGGCCTCACGGGTAAGGGGCGAGGGGACCCCGCTGGGGGCGAGGGCAGAGGCCGAGCGGTGGCGGGAGGTGGGACACACACTGGTTTGGGGCAGCGAGGCCCGTGGGACGCCCCCCCTGGCACCACTTGACCCTGACAAGTAGCTGCTTTTTCCTAGAGGTTGTTTTGTTGTTGTTGCTGTTGCCAAATCCAATGACTCTTCTAACGCTTTCTTTGGGGGGTTGGCGGGGACAGGGCAGGGAGGGGAATAATCCGGTCTGTGTTTATTTAATTCTGTAATTTATTTTAGATATTTTTTTTTTTTTAATCATTAGATGCGAGGAATGGAAAAAACAATAAACCCTGGATGTGTTATTTCAACAGAGCCTGGTGCTGTTTGGAGGGATTTGAGGGGCTCGAGAAGAGCCCCACGGGGGCCCCCTAGGCAGGGGGTCAGGGCTGTGGGCCCTGTGGCAG